CTTAAATAATTTTAGCATATGGCTGCAATATAACAAAGAGTGAAAGATTTAAGGGGGTCTGAATACTTTCTGCACCCACTGTACATACACAGCCCTGTCCAATGGGAGAGTATGAAACATGCCTTAACGACAGCACTATGGAACTCTGTCATTACGTCTGAGTCATGACAGAAAATGGACCTTTTCAATAGAACATCCTGACAAATGTTAGAATTGTTTGTGCACACAGGCATTTTCATTGTTTAAAGATAAACTAACCACCCACTGTATATACATACCTGCCTCAGCCTGCCTGCCTGCTAGAGTAGCTTGGCCCAGTCTGCTGTTATCCAGGTCACGCCAACAGGTTCTGGGCTCATGCGGATTGGCTCAGCTCTCTCTGGAAGCCGGCCCGGTGCGGAGGCTGAATGTGGGGCACAAGGAGAGAAAAGGAGCGCTGCTGAACACACTTGCTCTCCATCTTTAGAAACTGCTTGAGATGCAGCCAAACACTCAGAAAACTCTGATCTATCCAGGCATAATGACACAGCTCAATGCTCTGGATTCCTCTGAGGCACAGTCAAACAAGTTTTTGTGAAGCCACTCAAATCTCAAAAGGAATCAAAGCACAAATTGGGGAGGTCAGGTCCACACCCCTTCTTTTCTTCTGGTTTACAGAAAGTGGGTTCTTGATCAGGGTAGCTCTCCTTGGCAAATGTGACCAAGTCATACTAATACCTCCAAGACTGTTCAAATTGTGATAAGAGACTCAGAGATGTGCATAAAAAAGTGTCTGGAGGCATTAAGAGAGTTGATCAGAATGATAAATGCCATCCGCTAGCTCTGAAAAACGGTAATAACAGCCTAATATTAGTGCACTATATACTCAGTATAGAAACAACAGCATATGTCAGATTGTCTTGTGATCCTTCATTGTTACTTGTACAAGTTCAGTGTCACAGTAGCAGCTGTGCATCTGTGCTGGGATTCATGTCTCTTGTGCATGTTCAAATGTTCTGATGGAGCAGTATCTCAGGCACATGTGACCTCAGCACAGCCCCCACAGAAAGTATAACAGTTCTCCAGAGCGAGGGCATTGATTGAAACAGCTCCCTCTCCGTTTTTCACATCCTGACAAAAATGGTTTTTGCTTGACACTGTCACAAGGTGCTTTACTCATTTAGGAATGGCTATTACATATATCAGTACCTCTACCTTCTGTTCTCAGCTTTAGGAAGACAAAACACTGACACCAGTGAGACACACACATATTTTGAGGACGTACAATGTGGTCTGACATTGTGCTGGTTAAGGTTTTCTTTTCTTTTTTTGTGACATTTGGCCTGGATCAGATTATGATCATGTGAAGTCCTTGTTCTCTTGAGACCCACTGTACCACATAGCAATATACTCAGTAGCAAATATTACATTGTACATATCTTATTGGATGCGCACACACTGCACCACATACCACAGCACACACATCAAATTGAAAACATAACTCGTCTTACTCCCAGGCATGGTTGGCATCTTTCAGTGAATGCTGACCTGTGCTAAGAGCCAAGTAGGGAGGGTCACTGAGGGAGGGGGAGAGGGGGTCCAGCTCCTGGTGGGAGGGAAGGTCTTAAGGAGATTGTGAAAGGGAGGGACGGAGGAAGGGCAGAGCTGAAGGCTGTGGAAACACAGAGGAGGAGAAGAAAAGACCAGAGATAGAGGAAACCAGGAGAATTTGTTGAAGAAGGAGTAGGGCAGCTGCTGATCTGTCCAGTGTAGTGTGCATGTTTCTGTGAGCAGGACAGGTAGTGGCCCCTCAGGGGCTGGATCATGGGACAGAGCCTTCGTGTGGAGACCCCAGCTCAGGACCCACAACAATACAACAATGTTGGTGAGTTTCTGGACTCACACATGCACTTCATATGTACTGTACATAATATTTGCTTTGTACTATGTTGTAGTTTTTCAAAAACATAGAGGAGAAACAGGACTCGGAGATTGTGTAATCAATTTAGCACAGTCTCTCCTCTCTCTCTCTCTCTCTGCCCGCTTCACTTTCACCAGCACAGGGAATGTTAAATCACAGGGATCACATGGATGAATCAGCTGTTTTTACACACCCATGCATATGTTAGGAACTTATTTTCTTATGTTATAACACACAGGGAAGTGAACTTGGACATTGAAAAGATGTTTTTATTTAGGGATGTTTTTTGAAGTTCTGCCTGGATGGGATTTTAAAGACTGTTGGATTCTTTCCCACGTTTTTCCCTTTGTTTGTTGCAGATCTTCATATTACGGAGTGTGAATTCACGGGGCCGAGCAGAACAGACTGCCTTACATAACATGCTCTTATTCTAAAATCTCACTGCTTCTGTGGTATTTATTTTAAATGGCTGAATAATTTTAGGGCGTTCAAGAAGTCCATAAGACACAGTCACGCTGATCTTAACCTCTTTGTGCTGTCAGTTAAGTAGATTAAATTTCATAAGCTGCCCTGACAAGGGTTAGAGTTATAGTGTATGAGGTTGGGTGTTTCCCGACCATTGCACCCCATGGAAGCAGGTTCCTTATGCAACTGATCAGAATGGTTTAACCACATGCTCACCTGACAAGGCCTGCCATGTCTCGGTGAATCATTAGGTTGGTGAGAAATCTAGCATCTCTAGGAGATGTTTGTGGTAGGTGTGGTTTCAGCAGTTGGTACGTCAGAGGAGCACGCGTACAGTGTCACACACCCCCATGTTTCCTGACTGGTATGCCTTATCTTGGCAGAGCTCCTGATTACAGAGCATGACTACTCAGCTTCTGGTTGTGGCCTTGTTCTGGGTGTAAATTTGTTCTGTATCACCTAGATGTTTTAACAGCCAGAATGTTGATGGGTTTCCCTGGAGGTGCTGCAGTGGGCCTTGCAGCACTGTGTTTCTGTACAGTGGACTGTGTTATTGAGTGTGAGGGGAAGAGGTTGTCTTTGTTCTCTGTCACAGAATCAGGGTGGAGTGCCTTTTCCTCCCTGTGTTTCCAGGCAGCCCACCCCCTCAGTAACTCCTGCACTTTTCCCCTATTCCGTAGTTCGTTTTGCCCTTTTCTCCCATTCCCACAGTCACACACAGCTGTAGTGCCACCACACACCAGACCTCTTCTCACTACAGCTGAAACAATGACATGCTGGAGAGTTTTCCTCTGTAGCTGTGAAGAATAACTTTAAGTGGATCCACAGCTCTTGAATGTGATAATTGAGTTGGCAGTACTGTACTACTTGTTATTTTTTTATTCTTTTTTTTGTTGTTGGTGGATTGATACATTTTATAATCTAGCAGCACCGGCTAATATACAAATCTCCTGAGGATATTGTCAGCCAGTCCTTTTTGAATGGATGCCTCCTGCATGGGCTGAGTCGTCTGCGGTCGTCATCTCTGCAGTGCTCTGGAGAGTGCAGGCCTGGCACAGCCAGCTCTTATCCTGCTTTGCTGGCTTCAGCTGAGCCACTGTGTCAGAGACTGCTGTGTGAGAACAACAGGGAAGTTGTCTTAAGCAATGCTTAATCTGGATGTTATGGCAGCTGGACTGAATCCTGAGATTTCATCCTCACCAAGATAAGATAGATTTCCATACTGCGGACGTGGCCCTTAACCCGGAACCCTTTCTACGGTAGTTCTGAGCAGCTCTCTGCAACTTGTCCTTCTCGCATTTTCTTCCTTGGTGATTTATCAGCCACATATACTGTACTATACTGTACAGGATAGTTGATTTGGGGGTTGCCTCCTGCTTCCCCATGGCATGCTGTTTCAAGTCTCGCCACCATGGAAGCTGGACACTTGCCACCCCTCTTCCAGGTAGACCAGTGTCTATTTTCTTTTATTTGATAGGCTTTCCAGGTCATACAGAGAGTGAGACAGATTTTAAATTCACTGTAGTGCATGAATTTACTGAATTATTGTGGAAACTTTAGCGGGTCAGGCTTCTAAACACTATGTAAGCGTTCAGCACAAATTTTACCCTGCCAGCAGCTTTGAGGTTGCTGTGTAAAGCAGTGGTCAGAGACTGTCCTTCAGTTGCAAAAATGGGTTTGAATTCTGTGTGAGCTGCCATCCGCAATGCTAAAATGTCCCTTAGCAAGATATTGAAACCCTGCCAACTCCAGTGGTGCTGGTCTGTAGCTAGCTAACTCTGATTTCCCTTTCTGTGTGTGTCACACAAAGACATGCAGAAAAGAGTCAGTTTCCACCCAGGAATGCTATTATTATTGTTTTTGTGTGTCCTTTTATTCGACTGCCGCATCAGTATTCTAGGTATTGTGTGCAAGCATATTATGGTGGGAATGAGACTGTGAGGCGTTACTGTCGCCCAGACATCCTGTGTGTGTGTGCGCCGGTAAATATTACGTCTGCTGAATACAGCAGCTGCAGTCTTGTAGAGAACTAATGTTTGAAACATTCTCGGATCTCAGCACCCTGTCACTTGGCCTGCCAGTCTCATAACCGTGAATGTGTAACCATGACGGCAGAATGACATTCAGTGGAGTCCTTCGAGCTTTAATGGCGCCTCATAATGATCAGTGTTCTTCAATAGGGTTCACTTCATGATTGTTAGCTGTTTATTATGTATCATGACTGTCAGATTTTTTTCTGCGCCTGTGTGACTGTGTCCGTGTGTGCCTCTGTTTTCTATAGAGGCTGAAAGGCTGATAAGGCACTAGTCTCCATCCAGCCAAGGAATGTGAGCACTTGACAGTGAGAAATCCTGGCTAAATGCCAGCGTCAGACCTCTCCTGTTAACTGTGGATATGTGGAGGAGTCCATGAGCTCTCAGCATCACCCTGCCAAAGCACACTCAGTCCCCGAGAACTAACAGCTAAAGATAATACCAGCTGTAATGAGCATGGCCTTCTTTACAAAAGCAGCAGATGAACTCAGTAAAGATAGACAGTTCTTCTGTCAGAGTATTGTGAGTGCTCATACATCTAAAGTTGTACTTTTCATGCTCCCGTGTCTCATTTTAGGCTACACAAATCTTGCTCATGCTGTTTGAAACATAAAATTATGCTTTTTTTAAAATTTTATTTTAGATGATGAAGTTGAGCAGCACCACAGCACAATGGTGGGAGAGGGGGGCAGCACAGGGGATGGCACCCCTCCCCCAAAACGTAAGGGCAAGTTCTCTAACCTTGGCAAGATCTTCAAACCGTGGAAGTGGCGGAAGAAGAAAAGCAGCGAGAAGTTTGAGGAAACTTCAAAAGGTTTGTGCTGTGGATTCAGTGTGTGTTCACCCCCACCTTCTCTCCTCCTTTCTCACTGTTCGTATCAGTTACATTCAACTTTCATCAGAATTCCTCAGTGCTTGTGTTCCTGGCTGAAATGTACAGGCTCATTGGCCCTTGTGTTTTCAGTCCACCTACAATAACACAATAGGCTCCTGACAAAATATCCTGTTGAGCTGCCGAGTGAGGTTCCCTAAACATTTGTGAATTCTGGAGCATGAGGTCACACTCCAAATGTGATTGATTTTAGAGCAATATTTTTTCCCTGTGTAGATCTTCATAGAAAAAAAAAATCAATGTGTTTATTGATGGCAGAGCTGGAGAGAAAGATGTCGACAAGGCGTACTCGGCAGGAGCTTATAGAACAGGGGGTGCTGAAGGAGGTCCCGGACAACGGTAAGAGCGCTTCTGTGATTCATCTGATCTCTCAGCACAGTGGTGTCTGTATTTGACAGCAAGCAGCCCTGAGGCTATCACACCCACGCAGACAGTACAGTTAAGTCATCAGTACATTATGGCAGGAACACTATCCTCCCGTCCAGCAGATGTCTGAGACATATTTAAGAAGGACTAAATTACTTTCACCTTGCTGTTTTTCAGAGAAATGTACTATTTGTTAATTGTGGCATGCCACTCTCCAGAGCTAAGGAAAAGTGGAACAAATTATGCCTTGCAGCAAACCAGCTCTGAGAGGGGTGTGTACCAGTATTCTTCTGGCCCTGCTCTCTTGTAGAAGCCCATTTATATATTTATAAATCACCTAAACAATGAAGGTTGTTGCTGTTTAAATGTACTAATGGATTAATTATGTAATCGTTCAGCCTTATGTGTATCACATCAAGGCCCAACAGGGGAGGGAACAATTAATCATATGAATATTCGTCACTGTCAAACAAGACACTGCCAGTATAAAACCTGAATAATATAGTGGAGGTCTTTTCTCAGTTTTTATTTTTGCTTAATGACTCAGAACCGCATTGGAGCTTCTCAGTTATATTTGTGTTCACCAGGGACTCGTGTCACATTTGTTCATTTTTTTAGAAGCAAATGCAGATACACAAAACGTGAATCAGCCCTATGTGAAGAATGGTCACACTCTGCCTGTGAGCACTGGGGTCGGAGGAGGAGTCGGTAGCGGAGGTAAGAGTCCGTGCAATCAAGCAAAGCTCCCCTCTGAGTCAGAATTTAGGATGAACCCAGCCTGGCTTGGCCAGCCAAATGACCGCAAGGGCTGCTCTCACTTTGATGGAGACCACCGGGGAACTCCAAGCTCCAGGGGCACAGGACTGCTTGACGACGGCTGGAGAGGGGGAGGAATGGGGCCACGCACGCAAGGGGAGGGAGAATGGAATCCTAACATGGTCTGGCAGGGCCAGATTCATGGACAGATGGAGGAGGGCAGACGTGGGGGCCGACTTCACCCTGAGGATGTGCTGAAGAGGCCCGGGCTGCAGAAGGCCCCATCAGAGGATGGCAGGAGTCGTCGGACTGCAGAATCAGACTGGAAGCCCACACTGCCTCGTCATGCATCTGCTGAGGAGGGAAGGGCACGCAGAGGTGAGTCATTTCCAGTATGTTCCATTTGATCTTCTTGATCTAAGATCTTCCACTATTTCTGAAAAGATGTAATCACTGCTGACTTTTCCTCACTGTGAGAAAGACAAAGGTGCATATTTTACAAACTGATCTCCTTCAAACATGTCTGAAGATGATGGGCAGTTCTTTGGTTTGTGTGTTTTCTCTCTCCCGCTCACTGTCACTTTCCTGCTTATATGCTGTCCTCCCAGATATAGACAGACTCCTGACTGCTCCCAGAGGCCCTGCTCCAGCTACACTACTTATTCAGGAACAAGAGGGAATAGCTTGTCCTCTGTTCTCCTCTCCTAATTAATGTGGCACAGTCACTACACCCATTATTGCCCTTTAATGTTAACATTGTTAGCTCATGGGTGTTTGGTGAAGAGCCACAGCTAATTGGTTTCACTGAAACTTGACACCCTGAGAAATAATGGTGTTTTGTGCTGTTTTTAGTTTTAGGTTGTTCATTTTTACTTATCTGACATATGATACATCTTTTCACTTTGTCTGTACCTGTGTACTAAAGTATGTCTGTAAGATGAGAGGAAACCTACATGTGGAACTTGGATTACAGCAACAGAATTGAAAACAATATATTTAAGTAAGGCATCATGTTGAAACCATCAATGCAGAATCACTATAAATAATGAGAGAAGGTGAACAGATATTTTCTCCTACTTTCCTTCACTTCCCCTCTCCCACTCTCTTTCTATCTTTATCACATCTCCTGTTTTCTGCCCTCCTTTTCTCTTTGTCTGTCTCTCTCTCTGTCTGCTTCATGCGCTCTTCCTCCTTCCCTCTTATTATTTCCTCTTTTGTTGTATGACGTCACTTTGATAAAGGCTCGCCTCTAAATAAATAACCCTGAAATTCTGAGCTGTGGCTTTGAGGAATTGCGTGGGAGCAGTAGCAGCGTGGGTGTTGCTCTGGGGTGAGGTAGGGCGGTCAGGGGGAGATGGAGTTTTTGGTAGTAATTGCAGCCGCCTACTCTGTTTATCTTCACAGCTGATCCCTAGATAATGCAATTCTCAAACAAGTGCTGTCACAGAGAGCACTGGTGAAGCGGTTTCCAGACTGAAATGCTTATAGCCATGTAGAGAAGACGTTTATAATTAGCTGTTGCCAATTCAACAATGGAAAAGATAAGGGTACACTTTGTAGAATGTAGAATATTATGTGTGCACCACAGCTGTATAGGTTACTGGAATTTCTGCGAAAAATTTTCTGTTCCAGTTGAATAAAGTGCTGTAGTTTTAAAGTTAAATTAATTGGAATTAGTTTTTCCATTGTATAACAAACCCCTGTGACACTGATTTCACAGAGTCAGACAGCCATTTTGTCCCTGACCCAGAAGCCCTGCGTGAACCTCCGCCACCTAAACCGTCAGTCATGCCTCCAAAATGGTTGATGAGCTCCACCCCTGAACCTGGCAGCGAGGGTCCGCCTCGGACCCCATCCGGCCACCCCACTACCCAGTACTCATCTCCCTCCACCCCCTCGACTGTGGTGTCCAAGCCTGTCCGGCCAGTCTCCTCTGCGGGTGTGTCTACTCAGCAGTCTTCATCTGTAGCACCGACCTCCTCCTCTCAGGCTGTTAAGCAGCCCCCTTTGCCGCCACCCAAGCCAGTGAACAGGACCAACACTGCTATGCTGGGTAAGTTCTGCTGAGTAGTTGGTGCTTTGTTAAAAGGTGATGGAGAGAATACACTGGAACACGTGCAGCCTGTATCTTCATGTGCATTATGAACAACCCAGATGTCTGCTCAGTTAGCATGTAGTTCTCCCACTGGCAAATGCAATATGTACACTTATGAATCAGTGGCAAAGCATCTTCAACACTGCTATCTACACACAGACACACACTTGCATACACATCCTGGTAATAATGCTTTATGAACAGCGTGAGCAGTTTTTCCCCAGCTAAGAGCTTAATACTCCGGGCTAGTTAACCTGTATTTTACACTGTGAAGCTAACAGAGACTTGTGGCTGTGAGCCACTGCTCGAACAGATGCAGTGTAGTGGTTGTTGTTTACTGTGGGTTTGTCTCAGCTGGGATTTTGCCTTAATTCCCACCCGGACAAGGCTGTCTACTTTGATTCATTTTTATCTTATCAGCATATCTGTTGACTTTGGTGCTGTGCAGGTGTGTGCACTCATGTGTGATTTTAAATTATGCAGTCTTTATTTTAATCATGATATGCTGTGCAGGTGTGTTCTTTTTCTCACTTTTATTAGTCATGGCAACAGTCATGTAACTATGATGAAAAACATTACAAGATGTCCTGTTTGTCATCACTTGTGGTTGTATTGGTTATTGTTAGTAGCAGACAGGAAAACAATGCAGTGCTTTCTCGCTGAGAGTTGGAAGAAATAAAATTCACATCTAAACATGAAGCTAAAGCCAGGAGACAGTTAGCTTAGCATAGCTTAGCTCAATTCACAGCATGTTTTTTTTTATATATGCATTTATATGGGTATGCCTTAAACAAACAAGCGGTGTTAATTATTAATTTGGCTGCATGTCAGTCCACTTTAGTCTTTTTCAATATGCCTCCTGCTGCACTTATTAGCTTTGTCTTCACTCCCAAGTGCTCAGTAGTGCCGCCACACACTTTTGCCACAAAGGGGCATCCACATAGAGAAACAGCCCTTCCAGCAATCAACTAAGGTGAAGAATCCTTTAAAAAAAATTCCTGGATTCGGATGATGATCTGCATCAGCACCTAAATCTAATGGATTGTTCTGTGGGCCTCGCCCTACCTCTCCAAGAGAATTTCATCAAAGGCCATTCATTACTTTTTCATTTATGCTGTGAACAAAAAGCCAACCTCCAAACAAACCAGCTAATGTCTGTAAATACATCACCTCTACTTTTTGTGGAGGTAATGATGAGCATTTAGGGCCCCCTCCCTCTCTCTGAACAACATATACAGTACCACCATGTTCCTCTATTCATTAAATGCACCAGCTGAAGGCCTCCATCTCCTTCCTGTTAGTCTCCGCCCTGCAGGGGGGAGAGAATGCTCAGCTTCCACTCTACTGGTCCTGCTGGAAGCGAGAGTGCGACTATGATGTCTACCTGTCCCTGCCCGTCTACCTGTGCCGGCGGGCTGGAGGCCTGCGCTCAGGTAAAAGGATGCCCTCTGGTGTCTCTGTGGCCAGGGTGCCTGTGTCTGGAATGTCCTCTTCAGAGTCTGCGTTCTTCATCATGTCGCACCCTTTCCAGCTGCCACTATATTTTCCCTCAAAACCTCTAGCTTGTTTATTGCTTCCCTTTGAATGTGGTATATAAGAGCTGCATGCACATAATGAACTGATACTAAGTGTTCTGGGTGCTGTGTAAAAATGAGAAACGACTTTTGTGTGAGTGAGCTGATGAGTCTTTTTCAATGCTGTACTCTCTGGTTTGGCATGTGAAGGAGGGAACACCTTGAGCAGGTTCCAACTGTGGCCTGCAGTACATCAGCTGAATTTCATAATGCTCAGCTTCTTCTCAATGGGTTGGATGGATGGGTGAATGGAGGGTTTAACATAAGAGCCTGGCTTAGAGAGGAAGCTGTAATCCAGTTCAGTCAAGTCTGCTGCATGTTTCAAGTCTGCCAGCACTAGTCTCTTATATCTCAGGAGCACGGCTATGGCTTTTAACATTGATGTTGCTTTAAAGCTGTCCTACAGTTTAATAATCACATATGTAGATATAAATATGTGTTTGAGCTTTTTGTTTAGAAGCTTTTTGCACTTTAAAGCAGCTAATCAACAATGTTCTGCTGCAGCAGGTTTAGAGTGGCTGTGTAGCACATGTAGGCTAAATGCATCTTCTTTGTCTCTGTCACCTGGGGCACATGCTGCACACTGATTTGTTAGTGCAGTGCATTTATGTTAACACAGTCATGAGCTAGCTCACTGTGTGCATACATTAATGCTCAGTCAGACCTGTAATCCCAGTTTTTATTATTGTTCATGTGTCTTCTGTCACTTTGGGTACATCATACATGTGCGACTGATGCATGTGCCCTCATGTTACAGCAGCAAACTAGAAAGGAAAATAAAGCACTTGCTAGCAACTCGCTCTCAGGCCTAAGCTATGATTCCGTGTATTAACTGTTGTTTCTTTTACAGGTGACTTCACCCAAGCCACTGGGGATGCCAGGCTTGTGCCAGCTAAGCCATCTCCACCGATGCCCCCCAAGAGGACCACCCCGGTTACCAAACGCAACACAGAGGACTCTTCTGCATCAAGCCATCCCATCAACCCCTCCTCGCTTCCTCTGGAGGACCACAGCAACCTCCCTGTGGGCTTCCAGCTGCCTTCCCCTCCCCTCCCAACACACGTTCCGCCATCTCCACCCCACCAGCACATACACACCCACCACCTCCACCATCAGCACTCCTACCCTCACCCACTGCCCCAACCCATACCCATGCTGTTTGACCCGCCAAGCCCGACCAATGAGTCTCCCCAACGCCCGGCTCCTGTCCCGCTGCATATCATGATCCAGCGAGCCTTGTCTAGCCCCGGCCCAGCTCAGCCACATCCAGACGGGTCGCAGCGTGCACACGCTCTGCTTTTCGAAACCCCCCCAGAGTACCAGGGAGATCGTAGTCGCCCCCTGCCTGTCAGCATCCAACCACTAAAACTGTGAGTTCCTCTGTACATAATAAGAAGAGAAGAAAGCTATCCCATAAAGACAAAATCACAAGTCAGTACAAGCAAAAAGTTACCAGGGAAGGAGGGCACCTGCATGTAAACTCGAACAGCCCCCACATCCAATTTTTAAGCCTAGAACTTGAATCCGTTTAGACCTGGAGGAAATCTTACCTTAATCATTAAAAGTCAAGTGAAACTAGAAGGACAAGGATGGGACTAAGTGCAAAAGTTACTTCTAAATTGATTAATTACACTTTATCTGTATCCATGATATATATATATATCCATGTACGTATTTATTTTCCTTTTCCATTAGATCTGAAGATGACTACTCGGAGGAGGAGGAAGATGACGATGAGGAGGAGGAGGAGGAGTATGATGGTGAAATTCCCCAGCCAGAGCTGGAGCCACGGAGTCGCCGGTGCTTGGTCGGAGATGCAGGAGTTTGTGTCATCCCTAGGGGAAATAGCAGCGAGGAGGAGGAAGAGGATGAAGAAGAGGATGAGGAAGGGGAGCATAACATGTGTGGGGAGGACAGCGATTCAGACGGTCCTGTACATTGTAAAGATGAAGACTCAGATGAGGATGAGGAGGATGAGCCCCCACAGAGTAAACAACCATATTTGATGAAAAGATTTAAACATTATTTAGTGTTTTTAGTGTGAAGACTTTGTGGAACGTTTGCAGTGTTTTGGTACTCCCTCACACCTGACCACGTCTCTGTGCTTGGCTTTTATCCAGGTGCCCTGGCCAGCAGGATCACGAGGAAGGACACCCTGGCTCTGAAGCTGAGCAGCCGTCCCTCTGCTCCAAACAGGGACAGATTTACCCAGGAGAGGGGCAGCAGAGACGAGCAACCTCCGGGACAGGCTGGCCTCACCTGGCAGAGCAGGGAGCAGTGGGAGGCCATTCGCACACAGATCGGCACTGCACTCACAAGGTAACTGCAAATGTTGCTCTTATGTGCTTTGCCTTTGTATTCTTGAAACTGACAAGAGTGAGTGTGCATTTCCTGAATGAAGATCATATCTCAGAGCTTTGTCCTACTTATTGCCTGAATGACAAAGAGATGAAACTGTGTAAAAATAGTGCTGCTCTTTTTTTTCTTCTTCTTTTTTCTCTTCAGGCGACTTAGCCAGAGACCTACTGCTGAGGAGCTTGAGCAAAGAAACATCCTTCAGCGTTAGTTTCAATTCTCCCTTTCCTTGTCACCTTTTATAGCCATTACTGAACCTCATCATGCAAAAAAATGAAAAAAAGATTCTGTGTCAACTGCTTCTTGTCTTGTTTGGCCTGATTAGTTTGTGGGTTTAAAAAGTGTGATGGCTCAGTTCAGTAAAGCCACATTTTATCTTTCTTGAACTAATTGTTAACATGTCTAGTATAATTTTCAGAGCAAGAATCACTCTTAACAAAAATTCTTGAAACATGGATTGCCGTTTGTCTAATTTTGGAAACTGTTCTTAATTTACCTTTCTTGCGCATCAAACTAGGCTTTCATGCCAGTGTCTAAATTAAGCTTTGTTGTTTTGTTTTTTTTCTCTTAAGCCAAAAATCAGGCTGACAGACAAGCTGAGGTTAGAGAGATCAAGCGACGGCTGACCAGAATTGTGAGGCAACACATCCTCTACAAACATCCAAGTGTCAAATCCCATATTTGCTGACCATAACTTTCTGTTTATTGTAGCTGAGTCAGAGACCCACAGTTGCAGAATTACAGGCAAGAAAAATCCTACGATTCCACGAGTACGTGGAAGTCACAGATGCCCAAGACTATGATCGGAGAGCAGACAAGCCATGGACCAAGCTGACTCCTGCTGACAAGGTACTCATCTAGTGTGTCATCTTCAGTGAGCACTTGCAAATTCACCCAACTAATCTGTGGAGTGGGCTGTGTTTCACATAATATTTAAATTCATTTCTGACTATCTGTCTCTTGCTGTTTCATTTAGGCGGCTATCCGGAAGGAGCTCAATGATTATAAGAGCACTGAAATGGAGGTTCATGAAGAAAGCAGAATTTACACAAGGTATACCTTTAAGTTGAGTCTTATAGTTTTTCAGATTTCAGCTCTGGTGGATTTAGCGACACCTGCAGTTACTGAAGTAACAGCAATGGTAATTTAATACTCCTTCTGTTAGACAATATATGAGCAACTGGTAGATCTGTTTTCAGTGCAACCAGACAGTTATATTTGTTTAAGAAGTCAGTTAATTGTTAGGTAGTAATAAGCCTTTAAAAATGTCAAAGAAGGACATACTGTGTTTTGTAAATGCATTTTTAGGTGCACCAACCTCAAAGACAAATACACTGTGGTTCCCGTGGCTGCTTCGCCGGTAGTATGAAATGTTTCATTAGCAGTAACTTTACAGCGCTGACATGGCATTAGTAGAGTGAATAATAAAATGGTGCTGATATCAGTGATGTGATATTAAAAACTAACACTGAGGTAGATAATGTGTCATTTCCTATGAATCCCTGGTGTGTGTGTGTGAAGCCAATTTGAATCCAGCACTGGAATGGCAAACTAAGGAATGAAAACTACTACTGTATATAGAGACATACAGAATGTAACCACCAGCCATAATACAGCAAAAACAGGGTTTGATTTCATGGAAACTCTGAAGGATTATAACTTTGAATAGAATAGGAATGTGTGTTCACAGCTCATGAGATCTTTTGTTTTGTTTAGGTTTCATCGGCCATAGCGTCTCCCCTGTTTTGCGGATGATGAAGCATTTAAAATCTGTGGCAAGAAGGTGCTCCCAGTGCAGTCAAATCGCCCTTTTGTGTTTCCCGAATGTACACTACAGATTTTCAGGAAAAGCCTGGAAGTGACTCAAATCAAGAATACTTCTTGCTTGCCCACCATCGCCCTCTCACTACATTGCTTTGACTGAACCGAGGTGGTGATGAGTGAAGACCAGATGCAGTATTTCTCCTGGACAACAGGGGGAACCACAGGCCAATGAAGTCGAGGGGTGGCAGAGGGCCCACAGTGCTCTCACACTGCTCTTATGTGGTACCCCTCAGGGACTTGGATCTAGTTAAAACCTTTAATGTGGCCTCATTCTGTTGCCTTTTTTTCTTCTTTACTGTATATGGAAAGGCTAATTCATCTCATTAACATAATAACATACAATATTAATAGTAATACTAATGATTATGACTTGTAATATTCCACAAAGTAATAATAGATACTAGAGACAAACGGCTACAGCGAGAGCAGGTGGGAGGATGAAGACTGGGATATTCTGTTCTAGGACTGGACATCTCTGGGATATTGGTTAATTTATATTCATTCTGTACAGATTGCTATTGTGATACTTTAGAATGAAACCTGGAGAGATCTAATTACAAAATACTCTGCAATGCACAAGATGTTTTATATTGTCATTTTGATCACATGAATAGAAACAGCTTTTATTTAAGCCCTCTTTTATTTGGCTTGCCTGTGTTTGATTGTGAGGTGGCCATATAAGCATCAATTTAGTTATAGAAAAAGGTGTAGGTCAAGAGGCTGGTGATTTTTCTGTGTGCCATCAAAGCCTACAGGAATGTAGGATACAGATTTTCATATCACTGATTTCTGCAATCCGCTGCATGAGAATCCAGTGCTATTGGATCTGGATAATCTCTCTTCATTTGTACTTTTTTATGGTTTTTGTACTTCCCTTTAAAGATCAAACATGCAATGCATTCTGTAGCCATTTTGAATAAGGTCATCCTAGCACTCTCTATACTAAGAATTAAGTGTAAGTTGCTGTGAGTATAGATCAGGGACTTGTTAAAAAAATCTGAAAGTGTATAAACAGTCAACAGGGAGTCATTTTGACTGGAACCTTTTGAAACTGCAGAAGTGTTTTATCTTGTATTGTCTGGCCAGTAGCTTACAGGGTCCTTTATGCTGTGTACAGGTTGATATAGGTTTAACTGATGCTTCTGTATATCTTGTCTTCCTTTCATTTGAAAAGAAATTTTAAATTTAAAAATGTTATAGGTTGTTATTTTTTTAAGCACAAAATATTAGTTTATGATTAAATGCTACATGAATGGGGAATATGAAAGCGTAAACGTTTTCTGTAAAACGAAGGTGATTTTTAATTGAATGTGGAACTGTATGGACCGACAGTTTTCTTTTTAAGTGTAAATATTCACATCTGGATCTAATTAAAAATCTTACAATTCCTTGCGCCCTCTGTGTGTGGTGACTTGGCCCCTTGGCCCTAATCATCAGACCTGTTTCAACTATTGATTATGTTCAGGTGGAGATTTGCAGGGAACATTTCAACTGGAATATCACTAGAAAGAATATGGGGCTGCAATGACACCTGGTGGTTTGATTGTAAAAAGCTAAATTGGGAGATGAATTTGGATGAATTATACATAAATGCACAATCCTGGAGCCTATCCCAGCTGACCTTGGGTACACCCTGGACTGATCACCAGTCTTATCACAGGTGTGACACCCACACTCACGATTTAGTCGCCAGTCAACCTAAGCTGCATGACTTTGGGCTGTGGGAGGAAGCCAGAGTAATCAGAGACAACCCACGCAGGCACAGGGAAAACATGCAGACTCTGCACAGAAAGGTACCAGGTTGGCCCGGGCTCGCACCTGGAACCTTCTTGCTACAAGGTGAGGTTGTCAGTGATCACATATGATGAAGTGATGCTGTAAGGTGAGGAGCATAAACACGAACAGAGGATGATACAAAAATAATTACCAAAGCATAAACAAATATACATGTAATACTGTGTTTTTGGTTTGGGACAAATGCACAGATTATCCTGAGACATAAACATGTAGAGATAGATATAAACTGAACAATTTCTAACTTGAATGCATTTTTCAGAAGACATGTTAAGCAATCTGAAAATAATACCAGCAGCCAACACAGTGTTTTAAATTTTGGGGTGGGTCATTTCTTTAGGTAAACTCCTTAAGTGCAGTTTTGAGGTATTTGTTCTGTTTTTTTGTTTGTTTCTTTTACATTCACTGTATTTGACAGCTTTGATAACTAATTAATTTGCAGATTAAAATTTAAATACAACATATGGAATTATAAAACAATGGCATTGTTATAGTTTAATATGTAATTATAGGTTATAAAAATATACTTTATTCAGTAAGTGATGCAGATTTTAAATTACAATGCTGTACACTACACTACAACACTAAAACTACAACATTATTGTACAATGCTAATGCAAAATCATTACTTTTACTTTACACATTGTTGGCAAGTTTCTACTTACAATGGGTAATTAGTGGAGGTGGAATGTATAGGTCAAGGTCAAGGTCAAAGTGTTTATTTGACATAAGCACAGTTAGGAAACGTGTTTCCCTGTACAATGAAATTCTTACTTTGCCGTCCACATGAATGCCACAAAATACAAATGAAATATAAAGTAGATAAATAAGTAACACAAAATCTAAGGCACTTTAAGCAGCAAATGCAGCAATATAATAAAAAATATATAAGAATATAACAGACAATGCTTGCTGCATGGGAGCAGCATGTGCAGCAGTCAACAGTCAATGTGCAACTATGCATGTGCAAACTGAGAATGTAAACAGTGCAGGTCGACAGTACATGACGTATTTCCTGGTAACAAACTCCTCAGCTGTTCAGGAGTCTGATGGCAGAGGGAAAGAAAGAGTTTTTCAGTCTAGAGGTCCTGCATTTCACACTTCTGAACCTCCGGCCAGAGGGTAGGGAGGCAAACAGGTGCTGGGGGTGGGTGGGGTCTTTGGGGATGTAGGCAACTTTCCTACACACCCTGCAGTGGTAAATGCTCTGTACAACTAAGTACATCTACTCAGATACTTAAGTAGTCTTACTTCAGTTGAATTTTGAGGTATATGTACTTCATGTCCTTTTTATTATACCAAATACTTAAACTCCACTACATTTCTTAGGAAAATGTTGAACTTTTTACTTCGCTGTTTATTTTACAGCTGTATTTAATATTTACTTTTTTAATCACGATGTTATAACTACATATGATTGGTTGATTAAAAAATATTGTTCTAAACTGCCCAACAGTTTAAACAGTTGTTAAACTAGCTGTCCCACATTAAAATGCTTCTCACATGCTCATGTTAATGATTCAGTGATTGTATTCCTATTGGGGCTAATCATTAGTAGCTACTTTATATGGATAAATTCTAGGAGTAATTCAAGAGAACAGTGTTTTAAAGGTATTTTTTCTTTTTTGGGGGATATTGGCTTAATAAATAAAATATGAAGGTTTGGTTGTTTGGTAGTTAAATTATCTTGACCCACACTTCCTTTTTAGAAGGTGGTGCTAATCAGGTTGACTTAGTTTTCTTATTCTTTTTAGTCTGTTTTTACTGTACTTTTATTCTGTTTTAGTTTCCTAAATGTATGGCATTCAATACTAGGTGAGAGAGAAGTGGTATTTCGATTTTTTGTATGTCCTGCACATATAGTGAATCGACAATAAAAATCTTTGATCTTGATCTTGACCTTGATCTAATGTACCTAATGTTGCTTGCCAGCTGCCAAAAATAGTAGCAGTAATAGTACTTTTTGTCCAATTTGATCTATGTACATGATTTCTTTCCTTTGATTTTTTTTATCATTTATTTGTTTATGATCCCCTGGCAGAAGCTGTGTTGTTATATATACAGTATATTATACTTTGTTTTCTTTGTTAAATAAAATTTAAGTAGCTTCAAAAACTATCAAGAAAGGTTTGAGTGCTCCTGTCTCTTTAAGACGTCAGGGGTTCCCAAGAAGTGACGTGGCTACGTGCAGCGTGTGTCTCAAGACCGGGAACAGGCGGTTCCATGTTCAGTTCTAGGCAAACTACAAACATCTGCTTATAACAGGTTAGTACATTAACAGCTTCGGAATTGCTCAGTTGGAAAAGATGGGAAATAATAAAAACGACTTAACTTATGTGTATGCGGTTCATTCAATAAATCATGTTTTTGTGGCTCATTTATGCGTGAATCTCATGCAATACCGTTAGCTAGTTAGCGCTGGCTATCAAACAGCTCAGCGTTAGCCAGTGCCATATAAATAAGTTGTACTTTAGATAACTAACATTATTTATGCGGTTAAACGTGACCTATGCATGTTATATGTTTGCCTTTTAACTAACGATGTTAGCTGGCTGTGCCACCTTTGATACAGAGTTAAAGTGAAGAGCAGCCACAGTTAAGTGACTTAGCTATCGAAGTGCTAGCAAGGACACGTGTATTGCCGGCGTTAGATCACGCTGCTTGTTTTAAAGTGTGCATCAGCGTTAAGTGTTAAAGCACTGACAGCTCTCCTTAGACATGTCCTTAAGAAAAGTTGGTGTCTTGCATGCTTTGTGAATGCGACTGAAAGCTGACCGCAGCTTCAAGTTGTAGCACAAGTGTCCAGCATGTGGACACAGCTGTCTCTCGGTGAAAGAAGCAGCCACTGTGCCAGCCATTAAAATTAACTTCTGACAGCTGTTGAACCCCAACAGCTTCTAGTTAAAGCCTCGGCCAAAAAAGTAGACTGACTGTCCCTATCGAACAGCTGTTTCCTTTAGGCTTGTGAGTGTATGAAACTTAACTGTTAGCATGAACATGCCTTGCACTCAAAGCCTCACAACGTTATTGTTGTTCAGTGTTTATATAGGGGCGTTTTGCTGAATGCAGCATTGTTTCTAATATTAATACGCAGCAAGTCATGCTGGTTACAGAGGAATATCAGATTTAAATCTATATATTGAACATGTTGTTGGCCTGTTAGTTAAGCAAATTCACCCCAATCCCAACACAAACTGCATATCCATTATAATGAACTAGCTGGTTAACTAACTAAAAGCATTCACGATGATTCTGTTCTCTTGTGCAGATGTTGAAATGCCAGAAATAAAAAAAAGCCTATTTGGAATACCAAGGACCAGTATTGGTGCTGCTCCACTTTGTACCATGGTCCACACCTCTACCTGTAATATGTCCTCAAACCCCCAGGTTATGTGACTATGTAGCTCACTCCTTATACCAAATAACTGCCCATACCATAGAGTAGTGTTTGTTTAGACTGCGTCACAGAGGGTCTGATGCAGTTATGTTGGGTTTTTGAGACTTTTGTGATGTTTAGCACCACCAACTGTATATTTTAAATTCTTTTGCCATTCTTCTTGTATGTTTTTTCCCAGAGTTTTTCCTGACCTGTTCCTGTCATGCCTGGTAGAAAGACCACCGCCAAGAGGAAGTCTGACACTGCTGTGGAGGATGATAAAGGCTCTAAGAAAGTGAAAGGCAAGTTCCAAATTGGATTTTATTAAAGGCTGGACTTGACCTATTTCGTTATTCATGGACAACAAAACTATTTTTTGCAAAAATATCTCAACAACCTGCTAGCCCAACTGAAATTCATAATGAAACTTTATTTAAACATTCAGTTTAGATCAAGTATAAAATCACATTGCTGCTGAGATAGAAATGCATACCCACTTTGTGGAGGGACAATAGTATGTTGCACCACATTTCCACAGTTTGCTCTATGTCCTGTAACCATATTTTGGTAAAGCTGAAAATGAAATTGTTTGTGTGTGTATCAGTTTCCCACAGGAGTCATTGCAAGGAGGCAGGCCAGGTTCTTGTTCTGGGCCTGAATGATGTTGGACAGCTGGGTTTAGGTGAGGAGATCGCTCAGAGAAAGAAGCCAGCCCTTTTGTCCCTGCCAGAGAAAATTGTACAGGTGATAGCTGGAGGCATGCACACTGTGTGCCTCAGCGACACTGGACATGTAAGTGAACAACTGTCATATTTGTTTTAAATACTACTCTGCCAATCCTCTACTAAAGCTGCTTATATACACTTGCCAGGGTGCTAAAGTATATCCACTATGGGGCATATCCCTGGCCAAAAACCAGATATCTTCCTTGTGAACTTTTGCTTTTGGACATTATTAACAAAAGCTATGGCAATGATTGAGGAAGCTACAGTATTGCGATTTATGAGATCACCGCAGAGAAAACTCTAGTGGCAACATGGTAGCTGATTATCTCAGCCAGACAAGTACTGTGAGTTTCTCTTCAAAGCTTTCTGCCATTGTGGTGGTGATCAAAATCTACTGCTGACCTCACTCTCTGCCTCCACTGCTCATGCTTAATTACACTGTAGTGGTAAGTTCTGAGGATGTGTATAACAAGCACTCCCAGGGAATGCAGGATATGCAAGATAGATATGATGCAAATGTGGAGTTAAAGGCAAATATTTGAGCAGCTTTAATATTTTATCTAAAAGGGTGTTGAACTCCTCAGATAAACAGATTTGTTTTTGTTTTTTTTTCCCAGGTCTATACATTTGGCTGTAATGATGAAGGAGCCCTTGGTCGGGACACGACAGAGGAAGGGTCAGAGATGGTTCCAGGACAGGTGACGGTGGAGGAGAAGGTGGTTCAGGTGTCAGCAGGGGACAGCCACACAGCTGCACTCACAGAGGATGGAACAGTGTACATCTGGGGCGCTTTCAGGGTGAGTTACCTGCTGGGTTCAGCCACCTAACAGCTGGTCAAGAAAAATTTTGTATTCACTGGAGGGTATCGCCATTTAATGTTTCTGAGTCATGAAAAGTGATATTCACTATATTCTCACTTGGCAGCTTATTAGGTACACCTATTTTTGTGTTGTTCCAATGCAAACAAAAGAAATAAACACGAGAATACCAAATAATTTGTGATTGCAACAATTTTCTGAGAGAAGTGGTGTGTTGTCTGACAAAAATGTAGGGGTGCCGATATTCCTGGCCATGACTGTAGATAATGACTCCCCCTTCCCTTTCCAGAGCTCCATTAACTGCAAGCAGATCTGGCACAGCTGTAGGAAAAATATCATTGACCATTACAGAGAACATTTAAATAATGTTCCTCTTTTCAATGTGAGGTCAAGAGAAGATTCATTTCCTGTAAAAACAGCTCTTCCCATCATCTTGCCATGATTCAGGCACATCAGGCTTTATGAATTCTTCTTCATCTCAGTTATGAAACCAGTAGCACCCCGAATGTACTGAGAGTCAGCCTACAAACATTTTACTGTCTAGGCATTAGTTGGAAAAATCCTTTTCAAGACCTGTCTGCTGTTTTTGTTGTACTTGATTATTAAAATCTGTTAGTCAGCTACACTTCTACTACTGCACTATAAATTCTTGATCCAGGTTTATTACCTAACACTATAGTCTCTCTTTTTAATGAAGGTGGCATATCCTGCTTAACCCTTCCATCTTATCCTGGTCCAGCACTCCTGATGTTAATTTGTTAAAGCATCGTGTCACATTAGCTGGACTGACATGTGATGTGGTTGGTGACCTCAAAGTTTTGTCAACTAACAAGCCACTATCAGTATGCCTGATAATGGTTGACATATGACAGTGTAATTATAAATTTGATATCAGTTTGTAGTGACTGCGTGACTGAACATTACAATGTTTATGCCTCCACGCCGGCAATAGCCGTGGCCGAAGGCATCATATTTTTGGGTTGCATGTATGTACGTCCGTGGGATTCTTGTGAACATGATATGTCAGGAACACCTTGAAGGAGTTTCTTCAAATTTGGCATGTGTCAACATGGACTTGATGAACTAATTAGATTTTGGTGGTCAAAAGTCAGTGACCTCACTTTTCTCCTATACCTGTGAATTTGTCTGGCTGGCAGAGGCATACATCCACAGAGCAGTAATTCTAGTTTGTTTTCTGTTTACACTCCCACCTGCTGTGATATATGTACAGTTGTGTTTAAAATAATAGCAGTCCAACATCACTAACCAGGTCAATCACTGTTTTTGGTAGTAATTGTATTTCTACATGGCAAATAATTTACTAGTAGGTGTAGTAGAGTAATAAAAAAACCAACAGACCCATGACATGCATGTTGCTGATTCTGTGTAACTGAATCATTAGTTGAAAGGGGAGTATTCAAACTAATAGCACTGTGGAGTTCAGTTAGTGAGGTCATTCATTCTGTGAAGTTAATTTTAATGGCAGGTGGACCTTTTATTTAAGGACAAAGGCAGCAGATGTTGTACATGCTGGTTCTAGTGCATTTCTCTCTGAGTAAAATGAGTCATTTCAGACATTGTTTAGAAGACCGGCGTACTTGGAGTAAAAAGTTGATTGGAGAGGGGAAAACATTGAAAGAAGTGCAGAAAATTATAGGCTACTCAGCTAAAATGATCTCAAATGCTTTAAAATGGCAACCAAAACCAGAAAGACATAGAAGAAAACAGAAAACTACCATTTGAATGGATTGAAGCCAAAATGGCAAAGACTCACCCAATGATCAGCTCCAGGGTGATCGAAGGTCTAAAGTTACCTGTGAGTGTTGTAACAATTAGAAGACGCCTATGTGAAGCCAAGCTAACGGCATAAAGCCCCCGCAAAGTCCCAGTGTTGAAAAAAACGACATGCTGAAGAGGTTATAATTTGACAAAGAACACAATGACTGGCCTAAAGAGAAATGGCGCAACATTTTGTGGACTGATGAAAGCAAGATTGTTCTTTTTGGGTCTAGGGGCCACAGTTTGTCAGATGATCCCCAAACATTGAATTCAAGCCACAGTACAATGTGAGGCATGGTGGCACAAGCATCATGATATGGGGATGTTTCTCATACTGTGGTATTGGGCCTATTTATCGCATACCAGGGATCATATGTTGCCTTATGCCAAAGAGGAAATGCCCTTGAAATGGGTGTTGCAATGACACACCAGTAAGAGAGCAGCATCTTGGTTCCAGTCTAACAAGATTAACGTTATGGAGTGGCCAGCCCAATCCCTGGACCTTAATCTAATCAAATCACCAAATCAAATTTTATTTGTATAGCGCCAAATCACAACAAAAGTCATCTCAGGACACTTTACAAAGTAAGGTCTAGACCTTACTGTTATCAATATTATTACATAGGGAAAACCCAACAAATCCCCCTTGAGCAAGCACTTGGCGACAGTGGGGAGGACAAACTCCCTTTAACGGAAGAAACCTC